GTGAAAAACGCACAAAAAGTGCAGAACAACCGAAGGAAATGACTATAATTTTTACTACGAATTTGCCAATATTTCATGTCAAAATTACTGTTTGTTTTCATTCATTTATTTTCCACCATCGGCGCAAAATTATGTCACAATTATGTATATATTTTTTCCGCTTGTTCTGCACCATTAATGCAAACTTATACCAAAATTGCATATCAATTTTATTCGTCTATTCTGCACCATTGGTGGACATTTATGTCAAAAAAATTCTCACAGGGTGAGCTACTTCCACCGTTACAACGGTTTATTTTATGTAATTTTATATACACGCTTGGCATGTGCCTATCCATTCATGCATAAAATCTCATCCTGTCCGCATCTTGTTCATATGCATGTAAAGATGCACATAGAATAATTAATTTACATAGTCTATGTAAATTAATTGGCATTACAATAAATGGTATGTACATAAAATTCGTTCAAATTTTGCAAAGAGGTGCAATATTAAAATGTCCAATACATTAATCACAAAGACAAATAAATCGTAACGAATACCGAGAACTACGTCTGCAAACCATTTGGACAAAGGCTGAAATAAGTACAGTTGCATTTCGGAACTTACTTTTGATATATAAACGCACGTCCCAAACATAACTTTTTTCCGATTTTTGATTTTTTCAAAAATTTGTACTCCTTAAATAAAAATCGTGGAGAAAAATGATTATGCACGTGCACCCCTAGTTTATTTTTCTACATGCATTTTATAAAAATAATTTCAAGCAGGAAAAAAATTATTCGTGGATGTATGTAATTGTTTCACTTGAATGGGAATTTTTCTTTTCCCATTTAAAATCATTGGACCACCATTAAAATCAAGTAACTCATTCGTATTTATTACTGCCATGACCAGTAATAAATACGAATGGGATTATGACTGCACTAAATAAATGAAAGGACTCATCACTTCATGCAACAAATCGTACTTTGGGTAAAATCCATGCTTTGTTGAATCTAGGTCAACTCAGCACATTAAGTTTTACAATATCTATGCACCTTTTCCTAAATATGGGTCAAGTTCAAGGGCCACAAACTTCCAGTGAATCATTTCTTCCCTCCTGCTGGTGAAGGAAAGTGTCACCTTGTCCTACATAAAACCCAAAATTCACTCACAAATATTCACCAGTCTTGCTCGACTCTCTTAGCAACGAAGTTCATCAAAAATGGGTAGAAATCTTAATACTCCATTCAGTTTTACCATCGTCCTAATTGCTGCATTTGCAACAAGTGGGTCAGTTCAGGCTGGCCAAATATTTCAATGGGACACAGGGAGACCGATGGTTAGTAAAATAAAAATTATCGTAAATTAAATCAAACCAAATATGTATATCTATTTAAAATAATTAATCTACTTTTTAATCATTAATTTTTAAGCATTAATTTTATTTACATTTTTTTAACTTTTTTAACCCCTAGCTCTCCGATGAGTATGAACTTTACGGGTATAACAGCGCTAAATGTGTCACCCTTCACGGAGACAATCTTGAGAACGATGCCATCATCGATATTTGGGGTTGCCAGCATAAAATTAATCAAAAATGGACTTTTGGTTCGTTCGATTGGGCTAATGCAAGTTGCATACATGAATTTATAAAATTAACATAAATTTCATTCCTACCCATTTCATCGGTAAATAAAAAAATTCTTATGCTACATAATTTCAGTCCGCCAACACGGGAAGGTACGCTTTAGTGAATCGCTTATCTGGAAAATGTCTCACCGCCGGGCCTCGAGGTGGTAGCACGGATGAGGATGAATTTCAACAAATTCACGTCTATCAGTACGCCTGCTCGTCGGAGTATAATCCATACCAATTATGGGAAATGAATCAAAGTTGGGACTATCGGGTTAGGAGGGGAATTAATTTTCTTATTTTATTCATAAATAACCTTGATTTCATTTGGTGCACATAATTTTAGACATATTGGTTCATCGAGAATGTCGGGACGAAGAAATGCCTCTCGGTTTCTAAAGGGCAAACTAATGAGGGGGCTGCCATGACTGTGTGGGCTTGTGACACCACAACCCCGAGCACGAACCAGTTGTATTATTTTTGGTAATAATCATAATTCGTTTTCTGTTAAATTGGTGTTTAAAATTGTTCAATTTTTACAAAATTTTTGTTTATTTGCTACATATCTGTTTCTAATACATACTATTTTGAATCGATTTGACCAAGTGTAGATTTTTGGAGGAATAAACATTTTTGTTTCATGTTCCCTTAAATTTATCGATAAATGATCCAATTGAACTACATAAAACTCATTACTAATTCATAGGCATACACATGTAAGTCGCCATTCATGGGAAAAAAGTCATGTGGGGTAATGAATAACTGCATAACATTCCCATGCATCAAGCCAAATTTGTAATCTATTTATTAAATACTATTAACGTTAGCATATTTAAGTATGTAAAATGTTTTAAACGGGATGGTAAATATTTTATCTCTGTACGCTGGTACTGCTAATCATATTGCAACTGTTCGCCTGCCGAGGCTTTTGGGCAAGTTGGTGGGGATGCCGCTCGTGCGGCATCTGCGCTGAGTTTTGCTGAGGTTAGTGGTCCCTTCGTGCCGAGTCGAGTTGAGTTTTTGCTGAAACTCCAGATTTTGATATCCTATGCGGGTAAAGTGATATTTAATGAGATTTCATGATTTATATCAATCATCTCAGTTGGGCATGAAATGAACAATATGAGAAATATTGATATTTAATATAAAAAATATTCTCAAAAACTAACAGAGGTTTCAAAATACGAGCGAAAATATAACAACGAAGCTAACCAATTATTAATTAATTAGTGTCAGCTACTTATTGTGAATGTTTTGTCCGTCCATCCGTCTGTCCGCTCGATAACTCAACAACAGTTTAACATATAGACTTTAAATTTGGAACATAAATACTTCATATAAAAACAAAGGCCAAGTTCGAAGACGGCCACTTTAGGTCACGCTCTTCTAGGTCAACAACGGTCATATAAGCGGTCCACTAATACTAAGTGTGATTCGTATGTCAACCTAACAGGAAATTTAACCCCTAGATCAAAGGTGACCTCCATTTTAACCTATTTTAATTTTATAAAGTTCTTGGTTTCGCCCCATCGTTTTATGCGTTTCACAATTTTTGTATTACATTAAAAAATTTTATGTTATTCATCGTTGCCCAGAGTTAAAAGGACCATAGACTTTTTGAAATGGACGATTTTAATATATTTTAATATATAGTTTTAATATAACGATTTAGCTGGTTAATCTTGTACATTTGTCAATGGATTGGATGATTTTCCATCTTACATGCATAGTGCAATATTTGTTATCACTCTCTTATGCATGTGCTAATTGGACAACACCAGGTATGAGTTACGTAAGCATAACATCTGTTGATTCTATGCTATCAGCACTTTGCACACGGGACGTTGCCTCAAGGTTTTTTAACCTAGATTAGAGAAGCGCTATTGGCAAGAGGATGGGTGGTTTGACGAGGCAATGTCTCAATCTCCAATAATAATAACAGACGATGCTGAAGAGGAGGAAGTATATGATGAGGAGGACGACAATGGAATGGAAGAGGACGATGACAATATAACACTTGATGCGTGCCACTCACCTATTAATATCTTACATGATTGCAACGTAGTAAGCGATCCACAGTTCGCACATGAAAGAGAAATAGGCAGCTTTATGTATAAGAAAAAACCCCAGCCTGCAAAAAAAAGGAAGACTTGTAAGAAAAAATTAATTTTCGCCGATTCATCGATTCCAGGTGAACTCTTAACGAAGTCAAAATGAAAAAACAAATTAAATGTCCGTTTTGTTTGCTCAGAATCTCAAGCCGACGCCGAGGAGGACATGGAAGTAGAATAGCTGCTGCAACTTGGAGGGCTACAAACGGAACAATGTTGTTTACGACCGAATTGTGAACTGTTTAATTCAGTGTCACAATAATATATTCAATTGAAGAAGTTTGCGTCAAATAATTGTCTAATTTGTTCATATATTTTGTTCAAGTTTAACTAGCTAATTATAAAAATCGTCCATTTAAAAAAGTCTATGGTCCTGTTGACTGTTGTCATTTTATCGACGGATTTATTGATTTATTTATTATTTTATCTTTACGGAGGGACGGACAAAACATTCACAATAAGTAGCTGACACTAATTAATTAATAATTGGTTAGCTTCGTTGTTATATTTTCGCTCGTATTCTGAAACCTCTGCTCTCATTTGAGAATGTTTTTTTTTATTAAATATCAATATTTCTCATATTGTTCATTTCATGCCCAACTGAGATGATTGATATAATTCATGAAATCTCATTAAATATCACTTTACCCTGCATAGGATATCAAAATCTGGAGTTTCAGCAAAAACTCAACTCGACTCGGCACGAAAGGACTACTAAACTCAGCAAAACTCAGCGCAGATGCCGCACGAGCGGCATCCCCACCAACTTGCCCAAAAGCCTCGGCAGGCGAACAGTTGCTGTATAATGAGCAGTACAAATTTAAGTACTGACGAGATGCGTTTTTTTTGCTCATGTTTCTTGTATATAAGAAACATGAGCCAAACTTATAACCTATAGGTTATAAGTTTGGCTCGTCCAAACCCCACTTTTGGCGAGCGAAACCTTCATGTGAATTTTGCCATGATGGATGACAAAATTTGTGAATTTAATTCCTCTGGAGATTCAAATCACGTTTTATTGTTCGTATTCATATTTACATATTATGCGTACGTGAATCAAACAATGTGATTAAACACGACAACTACAAGAGCAGAGATGAGCTAAAAGATAAGCTCTTATGTAAATATCTGCGGTATCAAATCAATCAATTAAACCATGCACATCACCATTTTTCCTGTATGAGCAACAAGACAAATAATCAAAAACTGTGTAGGGTATGCTCTCCACTTTAGTATTTTATTATAATTAATAAAGTATAAGCGCATGTACACTTGACAGAATCATCCCATTATAATTGTAATTAAATATTCACTTATCATTTCGATAAGCCAACCACTATCATGTGCTTGTCACGATAAGGCTCGAATATGTATAACTACCAAACGCCCCTGGTCCACTTGTCCAGTTTGTTCGCTAACACAACAGTGGTAACAATTGCAAATTATTTAGTCTTTAAAATGGCGAGATTATTGTTCGATAAGTTGCTAATTTTCGTCATAATTGGAAACATCGTTTCCGCGCAGGAGAATGTGATCCCACCAGAGTTACAGGTGGATATTGATGCCCTGTCGAGTTCATGGATGACCTTGCAAAATACTCCAGGACTTGGTCTCGCCATCACGAGAGGGGCCGGAGAACTCGTATACGCGAGAGGTTATGGCTTCCGAGATGTCGAAAATAGACTTCAAGTCGATCCAACGACTTTATTTGGGATCGGATCCATTACGAAGGTTCGTTGCAAATTATCTGTAGTTTGCATTTATTGTGAAATGATGAGTTTTCGGTAAAAAATTTTAGAGTTTTACGGCCACCGTGGTAATCAAGAAGTTGAATGAAATGTTCCCGGAATTGGACGTGGCTGTTTTGGACACCCCGATTCGAGTGTTAGCACCTGGATATAATTTTATCTTGAGTGACAGGTAAAATTTGTAGTACGTTTAGCTAATAGTTTGCAAGTTTTTACCATTTATCAAAATGTACTCAAATACATATGTACAGATATCGAACGGGGAGTACGACCTTCCGTGACCTTTTGTCCCACAAGGTGTGCACATTTCCAGAATTGACAGGCATGTTTGTTCAATCTTACACCGGTTCGGATGATATGTATTAGTAAGATAAGAAAAATCATTTTTTTTACGATATTTGGGAAACTTTGTTATAAAATTTTGTGCATAGTCGACACCGCTACGCTCCCGAGTTCTGCAGCTTCCGAAACGGCTTCGCCTACAACAATGGGTTGATCGGGATGGCTGGAGATATCATTGCGCACATGGGAAACACAACCTTTACCGATATGGTAGACTTGTAATTAATTAAGTCAATAATGATGCCTAATTTGTGATAATGTTTGAATATTTAGTTGTCCGAATTACTTGTCGCCATTGGGATGAATGAGACGACCTGGGTGAAGGACACCGACGACCACAATAACATGATGGGTCGCTCAGTTCCATACATATGGAAGGATGGCGGACTCCTCCGCTACAATCCGGAATTGCTCAAGTACTTATTAAGTAGCGCAAGCTACTTTATGCGATCGATTAGTTAGTCTGTCCGTCCGTCAACACTATAACTCGAGAACGCATCAAGATAATCGAAATCGGTTTGCGGCATCATACACAGGACCCCAGGGGGAGGTGTGGTCGCAGTGTGATCGGGGCAAAATGAGATTTATAGCGCAAATTAGTCTATGGATGAAATCCAGTTAAATTACGTGTATCTGAGTTTTGCCACACCCCCTCGGCGCCATGGGGTGTGGTCGCGGTGTCACAATTTGGGCTAAACATGTTTTTCGCTGTTGTCGACATGTCGCAATATGACGATTAAGGTTTCGACACTTTTTTCGACATGCTTTGTCGCCATGGCCTAAGTTCAGCATTTTTTGGGCGATTTGCACGAAATTTGGGCAAAACATGTATTTTGGTGTTGTCGACATTCGCAATATGGCGACTAAGGTCACGACCCAGCATTCTCAGCATTTCTGCGCTACTTATGTATCCTGCTTTGCCGCACTTTATTAAGGGGTGAAAACCCCTTTATGGGAATGTCTTGTCTGTCTGTCTGTCTGTCCGTCCGTCCGTATCCACGATAACTTTAGAACGGATGCGAATATCGAGATGCGGTTTTCGCCAAAGTATTTCTAATTTTTGAAGTACGGATGAGTTCGAAGATGGGTGTTGTTGGTATTAAGGTCACGGCGCCATGACGACGACGCCGTGTCGAATAGGTGTCGAATTTTTTGTTTCGACGGTTTTAGACGTATTTTGGGACGGGGATTTCGAAAATCGACATGGTTTTGACGTACGATGACCGTGTGACCGTGTAGACGACGCCACATGTCGAAAATGTCGACATTTTTTGTGTTGACCGTTTTAGACGTATTTTGGGGCGGGGATTTCAAAAATCGACATCATTTTGACGTACGATGACCGTGTGACCGTTTAGACGACGCCATGTCGACAAACTGAATTATGTCATGTGAGGTGTCTATCGAAAGGCATAGTCGTGTACGTTCAAAGTACGCGGGAGTTATGTCGACACGGGGCGAAATGAGACGTGGGGTAATGTGAGACAATTCGGGAAAGTATTGAAAGACGATGTGGGTGTGCCACAAGGACATTTACGTGTGTTTTCACCCCTTTGCGACATTTCGTTTGCAACGGTTTATTTACATATTTATTGATGACCATTTAAACAAGTTAAAACATGTTGGTGATTTCAGGTCCGTAGTGATTGTAAATGCTGCCGGGGGAATTTTAAGTTCTCCTCTAGATATGATCAAGTATATGCAATTTCATCTGAATCTGGGCAAAGTAGGAGACCAGCAGATCGTCCCAGAGGTAAAATTTGCATGAAAATTAAAGCCTAATTAACACATTATAATTATTATTCTGGCGCCCAGAACGTCATGAGCTGGTTGACCACACCATCCAACATGCAATTTCGCGGCGTCATCAAAACCGGAGATAATCCAAACGCCACAGTCGACCTGAACGTGGCGTATAGCCTTTGTCTCAATGTAGGAATTTATGATGGTTTGTGAGAAGATACGTAATAATTTTTTGGGTTCTTGGAGCAAATTGAAATTATGCAGAATTATTATCATCAATTTTTTCGTCAGGTTGGCTTCGCCTGAGTCATGGTGGCTACATCACTCCGTACGAAAGTTCGATGCATATCTTCCCAACGCTGAACTTGGGCATCTTCATTGTTATGAATGGACCTGGCTCAGTTTCCGGGACTCTGTACCCCCTCAATATTTTAGTGAACGATATTTTCGACACACTTCAAGGTTTTGTGCATCCTGTAAGTTTTGTAACCAGTTTTTGTGAGTATGCATAATTTATGTATAGGAAATGCAAAGCGGAGTTCACACATTGCCCCAGTTGGTCAACCCTCCGACCTAACCGTTGGACCGTACCCGGTTCGAAGAAGGTATGCAAATGATAATCAAGTAAATGTAGGAGCCGAATTGAAAATTGAGCCGGAAGAGGCTGTCGGTCTTTTTGGGAGTGGTTTTAACGGTAATTTACAAAATTACGCTAATAAATATTTAAGAACAAATTCACTAGTGAAATAATTCCTCACAGGCGAGATGAACATCACGATGCGGACGAATCTGGACGGAGTGCCACAATTGTACGTGGAGTACGGCATTTGGGGTCATGGTTGGCTAACGCAGAGTTCAAATGCAACATTTACCATTGCATGGGATACTGACTACTGGATGATGTCGTGGTCCAATCAGGTCGGGGCGACGGAAGTGACTTTGTACTTCGTAGATGTGGACACGATCCAATATTTGGAAGCGGGATTTCAAAGTGCTACCAATTTTGAGAGAGGATTACGACTCGATGACCTCCCAGAAATTCCATACGCACCCGATAGTTGTGGATTGTAGGGAACGGGAAAATATTTATAAAATAAGAAATTAAACTAAGTATGAAATATTGTTTTTTGAATTTTCAAGCATGCGAGTGTGATTTGACAATTATCATACTTATGTATTTATTTTGCAACGCACAGGACCGTTAACAAACTTAATATAAAACTAGCTTTCCCCCGGCGCCTTGCGCCGAGAAATAACAAAAACTACACTCTGGTATTTCATTTTATATGTATGCAATATTTATATATTGATTACTAAATGAACCTCTACCTGTCCACTCCTCTCACCAATTTCTCAAATATCTACCTCTCCCTCACCTCCCGTCTCGCCAATTTCTCAAATATCTACCTCTCCCTCACCTCCCGTCTCGCCAATTTCTCAAATATCTACCTCTCCCTCACCTCCCGTCTCACCAATTTCTCAAATATCTCCCTCCCCTCCCCTCCCACCAATTTCTCAAATATCTACCTCTACCTGTCCACTCCTCCAACCAATTTCTCAAATTTCCACCTCTCCTCTCACCAATTTCTCAAATTTCTACCTCTCCCTCTCCTCCCTTCTCACCAATTTCTCAAATTTCAACCTCCCCTCCCACCAATTTCTCAAATTTCTACCTCTCCCTCTCCTCCCTTCTCACCAATTTCTCAAATTTCCACCTCTCCTCTCACCAATTTCTCAAATTTCTACCTCTCCCTCTCCTCCCTTCTCACCAATTTCTCAAATTTCTACCTCTCCCTCTCCTCCCGTCTCACCAATTCCTCAAATTTCTACCTCTCCGTCTCCACTTCTCTCACCAGTTTCTCAAATTTCTACCTCTCCTATCCTCTCTCCAATTTCTCAAAAATATTTCGTTTTTTTTTAAATATATAATTTTCATTTTTTTGTTCAAAATCAGGCAAAAATGGTCACCAAAAATTACAAATTTTTTAGAACAAATAAACCAAAATTCTTAATTCGCAATTTAAAAAAAATTTGGCCGAAAACGAATATTTATTTGTAAAAATAGCAGGTAATCTAAAAATTGAAATTTTCTGAAATTATACCCTTATGCCCTTAGGCCAGCCACCTTATACATAAGTTCTCATATTATTAATGAAAGTGTCGTTATTATGAAGATTGTTATTCTGGGGGTACTCACGTCAAATATATGAGATCGTCGCCTTACTAAACACTTATATTTGTGTAAATGTTACCCAATTGTCAATATTGTCCGTTTTAAGTATGTATGAAATGTCACTTTGTTATTTTAGACATGGTCATATTATTGATATGAGGTGCATATGTATTATACAAAAAATAATGACTTCTTATTGTGATTATGTAACACTCTGAGACGGAACTCAACCTGTCACGCTTATTATTCTACATCTGTCAGTAAAAATTCTATATAAGATTAGTCCAGTCTCTGACTGTCCGTCTGTCGGGAACGCTTCCCCCAAAAAAATAACTGACTGCACTGAAGGATAGCAGGAACGATTGTCGCGGCACGTATACGAAGACTTATGGCAGTCCTACTATTATGCACTAACGAATTGTGTTAACCAAATTAGCTTTACATAAGCAGTGGTACAAGTAGTGGATTGACTTGCCAGTACTTATGCCAGGACTTATGACAGTCCTACTATTATATATTATATTTACGATAAAATGAATAGCCTAGTTAACCAAATATGTAGTTGTGTTATCAAATTATCATGCAACGTATCGTGGTCTTGCTATCGTTAAATAAAAAGTGGTCACATATTTCACTTATATAGCCTCTCCAGCTTCTTCCCACAAATTATAGCATTTTGGTACTTAAAATACACCAAATAGTGAAATTATGTGATATTGATTTGTCAATTACATTCACTTTTTATTTTATCCCACTACATTCAATCTCCATATGTCAATAAATACAAAATTATTATTCCCCATAAACTGGTATGTCTGTAAGTGGTGAACCAATTCAAAGATTATTTGATCCGATATAGGTCGCTTAATCAATTAATTTACATACATTCTGCACATTTGTATATGTGTACTTGTACGCATCAACTTTTTCAGTACCTAGTGGGCTCACGTAAGGTGTAAGTAGCTCTTATCTTCAAAATGGCAAGAGATAACTAAAATCTGACAAGTGCATTGTATTCCTCGTGCGATTCTACATAAATAACATCAATCAGTTTTTAATTACTTGAAAAACATATCAGTAGGGAAAATCTTGAAATTACGCAGGCGGCGATAATTTTTCACAAAAAAATGCGAAGAAAATTAGTGAATTTTATAAGTGCTAAAAGAATCAAAGCTGGACTTTAATTTAGTCCAGGGGACTATAAAAACGTTAATTGGGACTGGAATGACTAAAAACAGTCAAAGAAATTTTTTTAAAATCTACCAGGACCGCACCCATGCCACAGGCGCTGAAGCCTAGAATCCGAAAAAATCCGCATAATTTTTACGGAAAGTAGTGTTACAAATGATAGGGTCGACGCAGATTATCCAACGAGTACTCAAATTGAAGCTTGGACTTCCGGCTATAAAACGTGGCACTTACCACCTCTCGGTCACTCCCCAAAACAAAGTCAGATGAAACAAACGCAGGGATCACTTGAAGCGGTACGCTCCAAAAACTGTGAAGAGTGTCCTTTTGCAGATGAGGAGAGTTTCATGGTGGAGGAATTTTTTAACAAACAAATTGACCTTGGTTACTCCAAATCGGCCAAAGATTACCCCCAATAGAGAAAACAGGACAAAAGGTGACATCATCCAGGTATTTTGATGGTTTTGGCAGGACAGAGCTAATTGGGGCAATTTCACCGCATTTTATCGAAAATGAGGGGAAGGTGAACAAATAAAATTTCTTAAAATACGTTTTAGAGTCCGTGGTACATCCCCTATATGAGATCCAATTCAATGGAGTCGATTAGACCCTTTCGAATAGACCTTTCAGCAGGGCTCCATACCAACTCATAATGCAAAAAACGGCGCAAGCGTTGTTTAAAAACCAAATTCCGGACTTCATCTCCACTTTTGAATGGCTATTAGTCTTGTTGGTTTTGAATCTCCGGTTTATGAAATAAGGTTAAAGTTAGAGACAAATGTGTGTTCTAAGCCCCAGAGAAGTGCGGAGCCTTGAAAAAAAACTTTGACCCCGGAATGCTACAAATTGTCCACAAATTCAGTGCGTGCTTCAGCGGAGGGCTGGAGGCCGCGTCTTCAGCGCTGCATTATTGCAGTTGGAGGAAATTTCGAAAACTAAAAACTGTTTTCTGCTTAGAAATTAACTGGCTTTCCATTAAAATTAACTAGAAATGTTCAACACAAAAACCGTTGAAGCTACAGCGTCTCCTTTCACTTACACCTTACGTGGGCCACCTGGTACATGTAGCGTTCCGTGTGCAAAATCAATTAAAAGTTACACGGGTTTTTCCAAACGGATACTGAACAACTATGTATGTAAGCTATGCTCAATTTACGTAATGAAAGTTACGTAAAAACGATGATGACATAATCATTTTATTTACCCGTGAAATTTCGCCCACCAGATTTTCCCAATTCTTCCAAACAGCTCCCAAAACAACTGAATGTATTTTTACCAGAAAATGATGGACGAGTGGAAACATTATTCTTCATAAACTTTTTCCCAGTAAGGATGCCATGTGTACCTGTGACCAGGTCCCGATTTTGGGGCGGGCAAGCCGGGCAGCCGCCCGGGGCGGCAGCCTAAACAAGATATAATTGATAATTTTTTATGGTCAGAATAACTCTAAAAAATGCATGAAGCCTGAATTTATTATTTCGACATTCCAAAACATATTTTGAAATATAGTTAAATATTTTTAGCTCCTTTTCTCGTTTCGGATAGTGGTGGCAATACTGTACAGTATGACCGCGTACTTTTCTTTTACAGACACAAATGTTGTAAGTGAATTGCTTCGGATTCTTGAAGAATTATCCAAGTTTTGTTTTTCCATAAGTTATAGTTCAGGATTTCGCTTTTTTTCTAACCACTATCTAAAACAACCGTCAGTTTGTTTACAATATTTTTAGCTGTAGCAATAAATTGAATTGTATGTGGTAAAGTTGTGAAAATTTTCTTATGTCCCGTGGGAAGCACTATTTCTCCCCGCTGACCCAATCACAGTCAAAATAGGTAGCAGTAATAGTGAAGACCACCATGCCGCCATATACTTACCTGATCAATGTATATAGAAATACATTTCGTAATCTGTAGAGGCTTCAAATTGAATTTTACTTTCAATTTACTTACAGAAAGAGATGATGCAATTCTTTTCAAATAATTCAAATTCAGGCTTTAATTATGATATGTCTGTCGCGACTAAAATTTTATATTTATCAAGATATATTTGTTTCACCATATCTTGCCTGAACGATTTTAGTTAATTTGTTTTCCTCAACGGCAGACTTTGGGGACGTGCAAATTGACAAATTATCTAAATTGCTTTTCCATATTCATTTTCTTCCTTAATGAGCGCAACCTTTGATGGATGGAATTTTTTTCTTTGCAAAATAATTATGATGATGTGTCTGATGGGGTCGTTGTTGCCCAACCGTTTATGGTTATATAAATCACAAGGGGAAACTACTTACGTTAATATTCATTCACGAGTTTGAACTGCTTTACCAGCCGGATCACTCCATTTAGAATTAGTAAAAAATTTCCAGGTGACGGGCGGAAACAGTTTTAATGGATTTTACTAAAAACCTATTTCGAGTAAGTGAAGCTTACACGCAAGTGTATATAAGTTTTTAATTTGAATTCTGCATATTTGCGGGATTGTTCATTTTGTAAATTGTTTGAACATTTACACACATTTCCCACTTGTTACAGGTCTTTCTGCTTCATGTATTACTGGAAGGGCAGTCGGCATCATTCGGGGCATCTGTGAGGTCAGGAATTAATGAATGGAAATCTGGAAATCGACACGTTTTCCTGAAACGCGCGGATTCTTGGTACGACGGGGAAGATTCTGTAAAGTTTGCCAATAGATATTTTAACAACTACAGGAAAAAGAGAGCTACTGGGAGCTACGAGGGCATTAACTACATTCCACCAGCGTCACCACTGTATAGCACTAGTCAAGGTTTATATACGTCATCTACAACGGGAAACTTAAATGCAGCCACTACCGGAAACAGTGCACTGTCCGGAACTAACAATAATAACAAAAGCAATGATTTCAACAATGGAGGCACACGAATTTCCACTAACAACAATAATAATGGATGTGAATCTGTAAGAAATAGTGATGACAATGGTGGACGGGGATGCTTACCTAACCCCTCCATAAATAATAATAACAATAACAATGGGAATGCCCCAGCAACAAATAATAATAACAATAACGTCTGCATACTATGGGCATCACCTAATGCGATTATTAAGGTTTGACATTACAGAATCTAGAAACATCAAATAAAGATCTTAAATAAAAAAAACTTTACTCAACTCTTTGGATCGGCCAATTTCTAAGTGAACCGTGTAAAGCATAGATTGAGTAAATCATCTGCATAGATTTTGCTCTACATAGTTCTTGATTGCGCCATATGCTAGAAAAATGTACGAAAAATTGCAACTGATATTGGAATAAGTATAATTACCCACTTAAATGATAAGTACATATTGTTGAAATTGTAGTACCAATTAGACGCATAAGTACATATGCATATTTAGATACATATTTAAATTAAATATTTTATGTAACAACTAATCATTCGAAAAAATCATTAGTATAATGAGCACATTATTTTTTCCGGCTGTTCACTGTGGCCCTACACTCTTAGAAAAAACCTACGGGGTAAAGTCACTTTTTCCACCATACGAAGTAATGCTTACTAAATCTAGCGTTATACTTACCCTGAATTTAGTTTCCTATAGGAAATTAAATATGACTTCATACAGTTAATGCTTAACGAGACTACAGTGACATTGCGTAGTAATATATAAAACCCGAATCCAAAATTGGATAGTTTATCCACAAAGTTCCAGCAAACCGAGTGCATTCTGAAACAAACATCTAATTTCTGTACTGGGTTGGTCATTCTCTTCCGAAATGAAAACCCTAATTGAGGTAAGAAGGGAACAAATATATATATATATTTGTAGTTATTACATACATGGCTGTAATTGTCGAGTTTGTAACTAGGATGAATAATTAATTTGTTTGTTGCAACACTTGCAGGTTTCTCATGTATGTTTAGTACCTCCTTGGATAACGACTTGTGTCCCAAATTCCACATATTCGGAGACTGAACCTGCACAGAATTTAAGCAACCCAAATGCTAAAAATAACGACGATGTATTCAACGTCTCCGACAATCCAGTCCCCATACGTGAACAATAATAATACCAATAAGGAACCTTAACAACGTGTAAAAAGGCAAAATAATAACAACAACAACAATGGAGGAGAAGGAAATAACAATAACAATAACAACAATGGGGGAGGAGGTGGAAACAAGAACAATAATAATAACAACGGTAGATTGGGAAAAATAAGTTATAATTATTACAGTTTGCCCCGATCACACTGCGACCACACCTCCCCCTGGGGTCCTGTGTATGATGCCGCAAACCGATTTCGATTATCTTGATGCGTTCTCGAGTTATAGTGTTGACGAACAGACAGACGGACAGACAGACTAACTAACCGATCGCATTCAGTAGCTTGCGCTACTTAATAAACTGTTGTATTACTATATTTAGAATCTACATTATTATGCACATTATTGCATCGAGTAATTAGTCAAACCTATAATAAAGAAAGCAGTTCCATGTACCAAAACGTTTAGTAAACCCAAAGATATTCTGCATTCTTCAAAGTGAAATATTTAATTATAATGATGAGACAATTATATTTTTGAAGACACAGATTTTAAGCTTTGAGTATTAGATTTGAATGAAAAGAGTTAAATCTGAATCGTGAATCTTTGCAAATTTTTAAATCTTTGCAAATTCCTTTCGTCTTCCACTAAATTCGAACTCAATGATAAGCTTTATATTAAATACCGAATTGTTATTGGTTGAAAATTTTAGTAGCCCAACGAGGAATCGAAGTTTAATTGTCGAACGTACATCCGCCGAATGCACCCAAGATGCATTTACCATCAAGATAATTGTTAGCAATTTCAATTTCTTTAATTCATTTACTATGATATGTTAGTTGGAAGACTTGCGACAAATCGGAGCATGGAACTTTGTTGAAATTATCCATTCGTGACTTATACACGGTCAAGGCCATCTGATGTATAATTATGGTTAAATCGATTTCATTGGGGGCGATGTGAGTTTGTGTTTCACCAAGAAATACGTATAATTGCGTACGCTGCTGTTGATCACGCTGACTATTGTATAGCTGACGCAATCTTGAATTCCATCCGGAGGGAAGACCGTTCCGTCACTGTTGTTTGTGTGAAGTGATGATGTCGAACAGCAGCAGTAGGGAAAGCTGGCATAAGTTTGATGCGAACACAAAACTAATATGCTCGCCTGGTTTTAGATACTCTATCGGCTTATCAGCTGTTGGTGCTTGGCATCAACCAGATATTTAATGCCAGGATTCCTTCAGCGGCAAAAATTATGGTTTCTTGTAGGGTTGCCGCGGGTAGCGAAAGTGCTACCCGTTACCCGGCCCACTACCCGCAGCCCGCAGCCCCGGTACCCGTTGCCCGTTACCCGTTTTGAGAATTCAGTTAAACATTAACCAACTACCAAACTAACACATTTAATTAATTAGTTACCCTTCTAGGTTAATAAGAACCTCGAGATAGTGCTTCTAGAAATTGCTGACGATATAATTGGCTGTATTTAACTAACTGCTCATGAAAAAAAACTTATTGACTTAGGGGTTGCCAAAAAACAGTGAAACTGAATTGTTTACATTTTCATTTAAATGACATTTTTATTTAAAAACACTAGCTTGCAACTTCAATTTTTGCTCTAAATCGTATCATATTTTTTTACTCCTACAAAAACTAGTTGAAAGGTCACCAATACCACATTACTATAAAATTACTGAAATCTTAAATCAAGTAAGTTATGCTTGAGGAACAATAATTTCTTCCCGTTTTCTGAATTTATAATGGAATGGTGTGAAATTCAACATTCCGATTTTGTTTAAATTTTGGAATTGTGTCGTTCAACTGAATGCACGACAATTTGTTAAAATATTTGGGATCAAAATTGAAGAATTACCGATTTTTATTGCGGAGGAAGTGGATTTTTCCCAGAGTGTGCAAAAAGGCGCCTTTTTCAGAAAAATGCACGCCTTTTTGCCTTTTTGCCCTTTTCAATGCCGAATTGCCTTTTTCCGTGCCTTTTTGCCTTTTTCATGCCTTTTTGCCGTTTTCTATGCCTAATAGCCTGTTATGCCCAGTTCAATATAAACTTTGGTTTATAGGCATATTTTACGACGTAGGACAGAAGAAAATTGCAGTACAATTGTAATTAATGGTTCTAATTCAGTTTTTTGCAAGTTTGTAATTTTGCGGACATCCAAATGCTCTTCAGTTTTGTTAAAAACTTGAAGAAATACGCTTTTGGCATGCTCTACGGCATGCCAAAACGATTAACAGGTCCAACTACATCGCCCTCTCCAATAAATATACATGCTTCTATAGAAATCATTGATTTATTAGACCAAATTGTAATCGAGGGAACAATTTGCGATGACGGTTTATGCATGATGCTGCTTGTGAAAATGATGGTGATGACAGAGATGCGTTAATAAATAGGATGATTATTCAAATTAGGTTTAAATTTTATTTGATTTGATAACCTATATTCGTGTGTCAATAAATATCAGTTAATACAAACTGGTTTACAACTCATGACACAATAAGCTAATTCTCTAATTAAGCATTTAACTACAACTAAACTTATATATTTAATAATAGATATTTTCGTCATTACGTCTAGTAATTATCCATTCTCGACACATTTGCGTGAATTTTGGATAACTCAGATTCCCTTCCCAATCCCGTGGCAAAGAGTTCCAAAGTTTAATTGAACGGTAATTAATACTTTTCTGCGCAAATGTCGTTCTCGTTGTGGGAAGGGTTAACAAAGGGAACGTACGTCTATTTGATGACACAGATTTCAGGTGCAATAGGTTCTTATACGCATACTTTAGTAAAAAAAGATCTCTCCTCTCAGTTAATGTTAACAAATTACATTTAGTGCGAAGGTCAGTTATACATATCTGGTGTCTGAAATCTTTATAACATCGAGATTTTCTTAATCTTGATTTCTTGGCAATGATAGGTAAAAAATAATTAATAAGGTAACGGTCCTCTTTACTTTGTATAGTGTCAAGTATTGGCGTGGTTTGCGTGGCCTATATGTCAATACAGTAATCAGCCATAGAGTGTACATGACTATTTAACATAATCGACATGACCTTATCATTTAAATAACGTTTTAAACCATACAAATAGCCCAGATTACCCGAAATACGCTTATTAACCGAATCGAAGTGTTGTTTAAAGTTTAATGAAGAGTCAAGCTCAACCCCCAAATACTTAAAACAAGAAACTTGGTCAATTTCATGGCCACTATCAAGGATTAAAGGAGAGTTAACATATTTCTCCGGAATGATTTTTGCAAAAAATCTGAAATTTGGTTTTGTCATAGTTTAACGTCATATTGTTGTCTTCATACCATTGCTGAATTAATATAGTTTGGGATTTTAGAACCTCGATTAATACGTCCAAGTCCGTCCCAGCAATATAAATTACCAGATCATCTGCATATAGCAAAAATGGTAATGTGATGACGTCAGCAATGTCATCTTGATAAGCTCCAAAGATAACTGGACCGATCGTCCCGCCCTGAATTATTCCGGTAGGGTTATCATAATACTTATCAGTATTTTTAAATTTAAATAATGTCCCATTTACATAATTATGTATTGTCTTAATGTATATAGGGTGTAACTTATATTTTATCATTAATTTATTAATTAATAAAGATCTATCTATACTATTAAATGCTGATTTAGCTTCAAAATAAATAGCTACACATTTGCCACCAGGCTTATCAAGAGCAGAATATATGTAATTTGTTAACTCAGCAAGAGCTGTATGACAAGATCTGTTGCAACGGAATCCGTGTTGGTTACACAATCGAGATTCTAATCTTGTTTGTATTCTATTAAATAATACTCTTTCAAATAACTTACAATAGGTTATTAAACAGCTTATCGGCCTATAATTATTCGGGCTTAATTTCTGACCTTTACCTTTATAAATTGGGGTTACATAAGTTGTTTTGAAATCTTCTGGAATTCGACAATTAATGAATATTATATTAAATAGAATAGCTAATTGAAAAGAAACTATCTCATTACAACGTTTTAATATTGGCAATGGAACAAAAAAATCAGAAATGCTATCTTTCTTCGTGTCATTAACCGCCTTACACACCTCCTCTGCAGTAATTAAATTAAAGTC